AGGCGGCTGGCAGGGTAGTGGTTAGGGGGTGATCAGGCTGGCAGGCAGAAGTGGTTAGGGGCAATCAGGCAGGCAGGCAGGCAGAGCGGTTGGGCAGGCAGGCGAGCGGTTGGGAGCCAGCAGTCCCTGATTATGAGAAGGATGTCCGACTGCCATCCTTCAGTCGGACATCCCCCGAGGGGTCCCAGATTGGAGAGGGTGCAGGCTGGGCTGAGGGACACCCCCCTCCTTCTGGCCTCTAGCATTCAATACAATTAGACTGGTAGCTGTAGACTTGGAGTTCTCAGGGATGACTTTTCTGGAAGGTATTTTTACATTTTCATCTATCACTCTGTGCTACTGGATCAAAGAAATCCATTCTGTGCCTGTGAGCTTCAGGACCAAACCACCGTGTCCCAATAGAAAGACGTGATCCAGGTCAAGCCACGATGAAGCTTACAGGAACTTAGCCAGGAGAGCCAAGTCTATGTTTGTACTAAACACCCACACACCTTCTGCAACAGAGTAGCACATGAGGAAGTCTGCTCCCGCAGGCAGGGTGTAAACAGAGGCCGCATCCACCTGGGTGACATTGGCATCCAGTCTGTCTGCCGGATGGTCCACTACATCCAAAGGAATGACTGGCACGTCATGCTGGTTTCCCCGACATGCCTACAAGACAAGGAGGAAGACCACGTCACTCACTTACCTACCCTTTCTTCCCAATGCTGACTGTTCACAGCGGATATATAATTCAGTACACCTTCATGTTGACACCAACAGAAGCCACTTTACAGGCACTTCAAACCACAGCATTCAGGTTTAGAGCAGACTAAAGTGGAGGGTTTCCCCCCTACTTATGTTTTCTTTTAGTTAACGTTTTAAAAAAATATTGGCATCCTCAACTGTACAGTAAATTCTGTTGATTGAAAGAAAGGTACACTATAGAAGAGAAAGTGTCTGTGATTTAAAAAATTCCTCATACCATAGCACCAAGAGTCATCCTTTCTTTTAAAAGCTATAGTATTTGCCCTAGCTGGTTTGGCTCAGTGGACAGAGCATCTGTCTGCAGACTGAAGGGGCCCAGGTTCGATTCTGGTCAAGGGCACATGCCCAGGAGGGGGCATGCAGGAGGCAGCCAATCAATGGTTCACTCTCATCATTGATATTTCTCTCTCTCTCTCCCTCTCCCTTCCTCTCTGAAATAAGTAAAAATATATTTTAAAAAAAAGAAAAAGCTATAGTATTTGCCTAAATAATATGTTCCCAGATTGGGTTTTGCTTGCCTACTGACTGCCATAAACTGTTAAGGGTTAAAATGACAATATTTGACCTGAGAAGTGTGCCTTCTTCCTTTTGCTCCTACTTGAAAGTGAGGTCTCAAATTCTTAGCCACTAATTCTGACTCACACAAAGGCTAACACTAATTTCTATTCATAAATGACTATTATGAACTCAATTTTGTCCCTCCCCTTCTAAAACGTATATGATGAAGTCTTAACCGCCAGTACCTCAAATGTGATTGTAGTTGGAAATTTGGTCTTTAAAGATTTAATTAAGGTAAAATGAGGTTATATGGGTGGCTCTTAATCCACCATGACTGGTGTCCTCATAACAAGAGATTAGGACACACACACTCTCACACACACACACACACACACACACACAGGAGAGACCATGAGAGGACAGAGGGATGGGAGTCATCCACAAGCCAAGGAGAGAGGCCTATGGAGAAAGCAACCCTGGTAACCCCTTGATCTCAGACTCCTCCACAGCCTGTCAGAAAGTAAATTTCTATTGTGTAAGCCACCCAGTCTGTGGACTTTGTTCTGGCTGCCCTAGTCTACTTAATACAGTGACCTGACAGATTGTTTATATTATAAATGCACATCAACTATGAAATGGCTAAAAAATGAAAAGCTTTAAAAGGAACAGAAAGTCCTTTAAAAGGAACAGAAAGTCTTGAGTAATTTCAAAGTTTTCAGATATTAAAATCTGGAGATTTTAATCTTATTTAGAATTATCACGCTTATATTCAGACTTTATTTCCTACTGTCTTCCTAGATATAATGTAGAACACCTGGAACTTGATGCCATCAGTTGCCAAATCAATTGCAATAAGAGCTAGCCTTTATTTTTAAGAGATTAGTTATGTATTTATTTTAACTTATTGATTTTAGACAGAGAGAGGAAGGGAGAGGAAGGAAGGAAGGGAGACATTGATTTGTTGTTCCACTTATTGATGCATTCACTGGTTGATTCTTGTGTGTGCCCTGACCGGGAATCGAGCCTGCAACCTTAGCGTATAGGGACGATGCTCGAACCAGAGCTAGCCTTTAATTGAGGGCTTGTCTTGTTCTAGGCACTAAGTGTTTTTCATTTGTTAGGCCAGTTTGTTTTAATCTCACAACCACCCCATGAGGAGTTACTATTTTATCTCCATCTCATAGACGAAGAATCTGAGGCAGTGAAATGTTTTCCTCCCCATGAGGAGTTACTATTTTATCTCCATCTCATAGACAAAGAATCTGAGGCAGTGAAATGTTTTCCTCCTTGGTGGCTATCCTCCCATAGGAGAGCTCATTAGTAATTTCCAATCCTCTTGTCTTGGACAGTGTTGGCCCTCCCTTTTGCATGAAGCAATAGCTGTCATTTTTCTACCTCTCTGGGCCATTCTCCTCAGCATCTCCCCTCTGCTCATTTTTCAGGCTATACTTGCTGTGGGCAAACTCATTTGCTTCCATTACCATCCATCTCCTCATTACTCCAAAATTTATTTCTCCAACCCTGGCTGCTTCTTAGGGTCTAGACCTGTCCTTCCAACTGCATGTCCCACAGACACCGCAACACAGTTGTCCAAACAAGAAACCAAGGAATTATCTGTAACTTCTTTTCTTATAGACCCCTACTCCCTCCCCTCTATGTTCTATGGCAAGATGTAGAATGTGGTCATGGTGCTCCATGCCATTCAGAAATACAGAACTGCAGCACTGGCACATCAGGAATTCTCTTTTTTGTTCAGAATTCTTATTGATGTACCAGATGCTGTTATTCAGGCCTAAAAATATTTTTATCCTAATACCAATTGGCAGGGGGTACACAGCATCTCAGTGTAAGGGAGAATGTGAAAGGATGAAGCAAGCTAGGTCTAGAACTCTTCATGCCTGCACCCCTCCCACTGGCTCAGCTCACACGCTCTCCAGCTCCCAGAGGACCAGCCTGTCTGAGCAGGCGCCTTGCTCCTCACTCCCCCAGCAGCAGGTACTTCCTCTGGTGGCTCCACCTGGATACCAGGCTGGCCATGAAGTAGCACATTGGTTATTCCGAGTCATCTCAAATGTCAATCCAAGTAATAAAGACGCCGAGAGTCTTTATTTATTTTTTTATGTTAAGAAAGAATTACTACCAAGAATTCAAATTGTAACTCTGGCTAGAATTCACAAAGGGCCTTTCCAGTACTGGAGAAAGTTACTTTTGAAGTTGGCTTTAGTTCTTATTAACCACAGGTATAGGCCTTGGTCTTTATAATTAAGATGGTAACATCATCAGTCTTACCTGAATGATAAATATCTTGGGTTTTCCAACCAGGCTCTTACACTTGTCTCCTCTGAACAAGCCAGTCAGTGTTTGAATTTCAATTTTGGCATCATATGCGTAAATGTGATTGCCTTCGCCATGACTCAGGAAAACGCATAAAAAGCAATCCGCATCTACATGGCTAGAGGTTGATGCTAGAAAAACCCCCCAAAATTCAGACAGAAATGAAAACCAGATGCTTATTATCTATGTATTAAAATTCAATGTACTAATACTAGAATAAGTTATATACAAATGATTGCAGGAAGGAGGAAACCTGTTATTCTTAGAATAAATATAAAATGTCTATAATGAAACATAACTTTATTTATTTATTTATTTTTTAATCTTCACTTGAGGGTAATTTTTCCATTGCTTTTTAGAGAAAGTGCAAGGGAGAGGGAGAGATAGAGAGAAACACCGATGTGAGAGAGACACATTGATTGGTTGCCTCTGGCATGCCCCTGACCAGGGCCAGAAGCCTGCAACCGAGGTACGTGCCCTTGACTAGAATTGAACCCCTGCCCCTTCAGTCCGCAGGCAGACGCTCTATCCACTGAGCCAAACTGGCTAGAGTCACAAATTATTTTAAAAATCAAAATTATTCAAGTTCAAAATAGTAGTTTGGAAAGATTTCATTAGTTTTTCTAAAACACAGAAAATGACATAAAACAAAGGGGATATTATGGGAAACTCCCTTCAAGATCCAAGTCATTTTGGCAATAAAAGTTACGTGAATCAGCAGAGTGCCTAGATACACACACACACATTTAACACAAATATATAAAATAGATTATTATTCAGTCATTAAAAAAGAATGAAATCTTACCATGCAGCAACATGGATGGACATATTATGCTAAGTGAAATAAGTCAGAGAAAGACAAATACCATATAATCTCATTTATATTTGGAATCTAAAAGATGGTAACTAGACATTTCGAAATGTACACATATATCGAATCATTCTGTTGTACTCCTGAAACTAACATAATGTTATATATCAATTATACCTAAAGAAAGAGCTCTGCAGAAAGTTTAAATTATATAAACATTATAATATTCCATTGGCAAATGACTTGAAAATTCATGGCATGCAGTGATTATTATGATAAAGATAAATTGTTAAAATACCTATTACACATTGATATAGAAATTAAGAGATAAAGTATTTAAATCACCAGTATTTTGAAGCCAGTAAAAGAGAATGGAAGGAGTCAATTAAAAAATCACTAGTGTTTGCATTTTAAACTTTTAAATGCCAAATGAAAAGGCCATTTTATTCATTTCTAGAATAACAGACTGTAACTAATGGTATGCTGAATATAAGCTTTGGAGGAATAAAACTGTGCCAGGGTCTCTAAATCTGGTGGGTAACATATATGCAGAGATGCACAACCAAAAACCTATAACCCATGCCACATTAATTAGTAAGACTTTTCACTACGCAGTTAATTATTTGGATCTGTCTTTACAAACAGGGCATTTAAAGCACTCAGTGCCACCAGAGGAAGATGAACAGGAAAACTACTTACCCTCATGAATTTTGAGCAGTAGTTCTTCTGCTTTCAGATCGTTAAAGCATTTCACTTCAAATCCGAGATCTAAAAACCTGGCGGCAGAGTAAACTGAGTATTAGCTTATGAGCTACTCAAAGTTGTCACATACCCTGCTTATTTGAGGAAATTTATATACTTCTTATGAGACAAAAATTGTCTTTTCTTTAAGGGAAAAGAAAACTCAAATAGGACTGTGACGGTTTTCCTGGGTCGTCCACGATAGGAGAGGATTTACTAGTAATGATAACGGATTCAAGTTAGAATATTGTGTCTACTCTTACTCTGCAAATACAGGTGACCCTTGAACAACAAGGGTTTGAACCGCAAGTGTCCACTTACACAGATTTTTTTTTTCAATAAGTACCTGTACTGTTTTCGATCCTCAGTTGGGAGTTTGCGGATGCAGAGGGCCGGCTGTATGCATTATCTATGCCATTCTACAGAAGGGACTTGAGCATCTGTAAATGTTGGTACTCACAGGGGGCCTAGATCCCTTCCCCTGTGGATACTGAGGGACAACTTAGTTTTGGAGGAGTCAAAAGTTAGGTGTGGGATTTTGGCTGTGCGGGGTCTCAGCAGTCCTAACCCCTGAGCTTTAGGGTCAACTGTGTATCTGTAACAAGGCAGAGCCTATTAACACTGAACAGAACAGGGTTAGGAAGAAAACTCTGGCAAGTTCTTAAGGGGGGCTGTGCCCAACTGAGGCTCATCCTCAAAAACTCTTGCTCTGTTACTTCTTCAGTGCGGACGAGTTTTTACCAGTAGTTACCACCTAAGTACCTCATCGCCTCGACAGGTGGGTGAAACTACTACCTGCGCGTAAGATTGTCTCTGTCTGCGTTGGTGCCTCGCCTTTCCGGCAGCGTTAGGTGCCAGAAGAACCTCTCATGGTTGAAGATTAAAGCGAGTCCTCTCCTCTTGTGGTCCATTTTGTACTTTTCTGCTGGATCAAACATTTCACTGTTGATGAAAAATTAAAAAAAAACAATGAGCTCCTCCGAGCCCAAGGTCCACGTGTAGTGTAGACAGAGGTCTGCTGTTTCCTCCTCCGCAGGCTGACCTGTGTGTGCACTGAAGGCCTCAGGGCCACGCCAGCAAGGACAGCCCTGAAATATTTCCGTACAGTTGGTAAACAGCGGCCACTGGGAGCACCCACCCACCATCCATCTACGTGGGTGTCTCACCCCAGGTCTCCAGGATCCAGCAACCGAGGCCTGGCCGAGGCCCGCTTTAGCTATAGGGCCCAGGCCATACCAACTCTTTAATATTTTGAACATCACGCTAAGTCCTTTCACAACCAGGGGCAGGCACTAACCTGTATATTAACTAGAAGTTAACTCTCCAAATGTGAAACCTGCCATTGTTCTACCTCCCAGTTCCCAGGCCCCTTTCCCGCTTTGATTTTTCTAGTCTGATCATGACCACCATAGGAAGAGGCCTTTATTAGAGAAGACAGTATTCTTACCTCCTGTACAAGGCATCTGTTTCTGTCATGTTTTGTTCCTCACCTATTAAAACGAAAGTTGATTTTTGTTAATGTACTTTGACTTCTGGTAGTGAAACAGCAGGAAATCCCATGTGGATGCCCTTGACGCCCACACGCTAAGGGTATATGAAAAGAAGGAAGGGAAACTGCTGCATAATAAGCCAATGAACTATAAATCGATGGCTTAATTCTTTCTCACCCCCAACTCTTACCCGCAAAATAGCAAAGAATATCATACAGAGAAGTGGAGAAAATATTACGCAAATGCATTCATTGTAAAATATGCCTAGATTTAACAGTCTTTTGATTATGGAACTCGAAAGAAGTAGGAAATTGCTTTGACTATATCTTTTTTTGTTGTTGTTAATTCTCACTGGGGGATATTTTCCCACTGATTTTTAGGGAGAGTGGAAGAGAGAGAGAAAGACAGAGAGAAACATCAATGTTCGATTGGTTGCCCTGGCCTGCAACCAAGGTAGGTGCCCTTGACCGGAATTGAACCCGGGACCCTTTGGTCCTCAGGCCGATGCTCTATCCACTGAGCCAAACTGCCTAGGGCCCCTGACTATATCTTTTTTTTATTGATTGATTTTAGAGAGAGAAGGGAGGGAGTGGGGGAGAGAGGGAGAAAGGGGAAGAGGAAGAGGGGGAGGGAGGAGGAGGAGGAGGGGAAGAGGGAGAGGGGGAAAAAGGGAAAGAGGAAGGGAGAAAGAGAGAGAGAGAGAGAGAGAGAGAGAGAGAGAGAGAGGAACGGTTTGTTGTTCCACTTATGTATGCATTAATTGGTTGATTCTTGTATGTGCCCTGACCGGGGATCAAACCCACAACCTTAGCGTATTGGGACGACGCTCTAACCGACTGAATACCCGGCCAGGGCCTGAAGCTGCTTTGTTTTACAGAAAGTGTTTTTGTAAATGTTCTTCCAGTTCTATCACTGATGCAAGCACTTCTTTAACTTTTCCTTGTGAGAAAACAAAAGCAGATCCAACCTCCAAAAGCCAACTTTTCCTGCCCAGGCGCCGGGGGACCCCGGGACCGCCGGGC